CCGATTTTTTTTTTTGCTAAATTTTGAGAGTTTGAAATTGCCATTTTGGCCATGCTCTTGGGTAATTAATGGGCGTTTCGCTGATTTGATCCAACATCCTGAATTTGTAACGCAAAAATTTTATGCGCGGCGAATTATCCCGCACAGGCAAAATTTTTCCAAGTCGAATTGAATCTAACTAATTGGTCCTATTAATTTTGTACGACTCAGCTTTTCAGACTTGATTTTTGATATTGTCCAAAATTTATAATTTTTCAAAACTATCTTTTCCAAAAATTAATAGATACGGATTTGGGGGCAGTTGGAAGATTCTGCGCTTTACTCTGATATACGAACAGTGTTATATTTTAACAAGGAAAGCCGGTTACTGTGCAATTAGCACAGAACGTTCCGACCGTAGTCTTCAAAAACTACAAGAAAATTTTTTTTTGAAATTAGTGTAGTTTTTTATGCTTGGTGTGATGAAAAGATCTGAGTTAAAACTATAATTTAGGCAAAGTCGACAACCATAGTGAAAGAGGTAAAATGACAACAGTTTTTGATGGAAATGAGACAAAAAAAGTTTTAAAAAGTTTCTTTTAAATAATTTTTTCTACATTTGTTTTGCAAAAACTTTTTTTGAATTTTTAGGATTTTTGATTTCCAAAATGGCATTAAAAGTTTTCAAAAATTATTTTCACTCGAGTTCAATTAATATGAATTTGTAATAAGCGATTGTAATTGGCTTAAAATAAGCACAAATAAGCCTGCTCGCTGGCTTTATTCGCTCGAAGATAGATGAAAAATCAAAAACTTTATATCGGTTTTTTTTCCACAGCAGAAAGAAAAATTAGGAATTTCACGACTGAAAGGGCTTCAATGTGGTTCGAATTACGACTGAAAGGGGTTTAATCTGATATATAATTCGACCCAGCCCAATTTTTTTTATTGCGGGGAAATAAAAAAAAGCAAATAAAAAATAAAACACTCCCGAATACAAATTTCCTCCCCAATCCCAATGGTCGAATCAAAAAGGGTTGATAATAGCGCGTCAAATTATCTGACAAGACGATTTCAATAACGCGATAACCAACGTAACAAGACTGCTCGTATCAGGGCGAAGCCCTGAAGGTTCCGACTGCTTTTCAATGTTTTATGGAGCAGTAATAACTAAAAAATTAAATGTAAAAAATAAAATGAATTTTTTTTCTAAACTTTGGAAATCATCCCCCCAAACGCCATGTAAAGTACAAAAAGATAGATTTCGCTCCTTGTAACAAATCATTTATGGCAAATAGGCGTCTTTCAACCAATTTGGAACGATTTTAAGACGGATTAACTCTCCGCTTACGCGTTAATAGTTCGAAATATATCGCGCGTTAATTGTCCCAAATTGGCCAAAATGACAATTTTTAAACCCACATAACTTTACGAAAAATGATCACAGGTGAAATATCTTTTCAAATTTGAGCTCAGGTTAACAATACTTTTTCAATGATAAGAAAAAACTCCGTCAAAAATAGCTAGTTATAAAGTCGAAATTTTCCTGAAGAAAAAAACCCCACCGAGCACAAATATTCCAATACTTTCGTATCGAAAGTCGGAACAATAAAATATCTTCGTCAAACTTCTGGCATCCTAAACTGTCATAGAGAGGAGCGACAAAAATTGTATAACCAAAACAAGAAAAACTTGTATGAAAAGTTTTGAAACGACAAAACAAAGCGAAATTTGAAATTCTAAATGAAATAGTACAGAAAACAAATTTCGAAATTGTGAAGCTAGAATTTTTCAACGACGACAGATGTATGACGAGCGAAAGAGAACCAAAAAATAATTGGCAACTTTTATCAATAAACTGCTGAACTTTCGAATACTAGTAAGCATAGAAAAAAGAATTTTGCCAATCCTTTAGCCGTGACCAACTGTGGCATTATATGCTTTTTCGAGACTTGCCCGAGTCGAGATTTTTCACCTAATTCGAAACAAGATTTGAGCGGTTTGAGCGGTTTTTTTAGACAATTACGCTCAAAATCTTGCTTCAAAATGAGCGGTTTGAGCGGTTTTTGAACGGTTTATCTAAAAAAACCGCTCAAAAACCGCGCAAGATTTGAACGGTTTTGAGCGGTTTATCTAAAAAAAACGCTGAAAAACCGCGCAAGATTTAAGAATAAAAAGTCGACCACAGAGGGATTCGAACCGGCAATCTTCTGATTCGAAGTCGGAAACCTTATTCGTTAGGCTATGCGGACTTGCTGGAAGCTTAATATTCGCTGTATTTGTTCTACTGAATATGTTCAATGTTTTAGACATGCACAACAAATATACTGTCAAGATTTTTATTGTCAGTCTCTACAAAATAACAAAAATAATCGATTATAAAATCGCACACCAACCCCCCCCCCCCCCCCACCTCTATCTAGAGTTGATGTCCCCCCTCACCTCTTACTAGAGTTGATGTCCCTTACTAGAGTTAGATGTCCCCTAACTAGAGAGAGAGGGGGCACGTCGTGGTTGGGGGTTTCGTGGGGGGATGGTTAAACGTGAGGGGGTTACGTCGTGGGTTGGGGGGTACGTTGAGGAGGGGTACGTTTGGGGGGGGGGGGGGGGGCGGGGTACGTTGCTCAAAAACCACTCAAATCTTGCTTGAAAAACCGTTCAAAAATCACCGCAAGAAATGAGCGGTTTTTGAGCGGTTTTTTAAGCAAGATTTGAGCGGTTTGAGCGGTTTTTCCAAAAAAACCGCCCAAACCGCTCAAACCGCTCAAATCTTGCTGGAAAACCGCTCAAACCGCTCAAATCTTGAGCGGTTTTTGAGCGGGATCTCGACCCGGGTGATTGATTAACAATTGACTTGATTGATTAATCATGATTTTTTGTCTATTTTTGCCATCTAAAAGCCAAAAAGTGTGCAATGACCTTTACAAAAACATAGGGGATTTAACTGATGATCTTGATCAAAAACGGATGAAGCATCGCAAAATCGAGCATAAAGAGATTAAGTACAAAATCCAACTTTCAAAGTTTTCACTGTCGCCAAAATGTATAGTTAAAAATTGTTAAATATTACGAAAAAATTTCTTAAAGATTTCATTTTTTCAGCTTCATTTCATGTTTTCTATTTGAATCAAGCTTTTGCTTGAGACATTTTTAAAAAAATTTCCGCAAAGTTACGGAAATTGAGGTGGGTTGATGATTTATAAAACTTATTTGCGGCAACCTCGCGAGCAGTAAGCAATGCACATGAGCCGATAACTTTTGCTGCAAACTGTATAAGTATTACAAGTGGACTTCTCTTAGTGAATCCTCTGCTTTTCTGCGTCTCAATTGAAAGACATTGTTTTGCTTGCAGAAAACAGAAGCCAAACAATGTACATCCTATGATATCAGACTTCCCTGTCGAGTGGCATGGTTACCAAGAACGCCCGTTCAGTAACTGTGGCGCGGAATATTTTGGTCCTTTTTACGTAACTGTTCGCCGCAGTAGTGAAAAGAGATGGGCTTTTCTGTTCACCTGTATAACTTCTCGTGCCGTACACATCGAAATTGTTCCGTCTTTGGACACGCGCTCTTGCATCATAGGGATTCACAGATTTAGCGCCCGCTTTGGTAAGCCAAATCTTTTGTAGTCAGAAAATGGTATCGATTTCGTTGGAGCGGAGAAAAAAATTCTGCTTTGCGTAGAAAATTGAAACAAGCATGCCCCCTAATTGTTACTGCATAAGGGGATTAAATGGAAATACAACCCTCCCGGCGCGCCAAATCATGGTGGGACTTGGGAAAGGTTAAAACGTAAATGCAAAAAACTTTTCTACACAATTATTGGTTCGCAGGTTATGGGATGAGGTATTGTCTATCATGTTTTGTTTATTGGAGCAATCGTTGAATGCCCGTCCAAAAACGCCAGTTGGTCCTGGCCTAACTGAAATGGAAGCGTTCACCCGTAACCATATCCTCTTAGGTAAGCATTCTGTCAGTTTTCTGTCGCTAACACTTGATGAAAAGTTCGAATTCCGAGAACGCGCTACGTAAGAGCACAAGCTAACGCAAATGCTTTTTGGTAGCGTTGGCTAAAGGAGTAAGCCGCTTCCTCGAACAAACGTTCTAAGTGGCATACTGATTCAGGCCGTGATTTACGGAATGGTGATCTCGTTTGGATCATCGATCCCAGCATCCCTCTAGGACACTCACTCCCTTTCAGGTCGAGTTTTTGCGTTGAACTACGGCAACGATAACATCGCTCGTTCGGCAACCGTTAGGACCATATGGGGCCAATAAGTAAAGCGCCTAGATAAAGTCACCTGAAACAGAAGCAAAGAGGAGAGCATTTGGAAATGTTAGATACACAGAATGAACGCGCCCGTCCCCTTTTGAGTTCTGATTTCAAAACTTACTAAAGGTTCCGCATTCGACAGCCTTTTTTCTAATTAATCCATATTGTTCTCAAAAGAGAGTAAGTTTAAACTATAAAAGGCAGTAAATTAGTAACTTAAGAACGTATCAGCGGCAAAAAAGGGAATGTAAAGGCAGTCAAATAAACCGACAATGGTCGTGCGACTTGCTACCGACCGAAGATACAAACCGACCTTGATTGACAGGTTTTCTTCTGTTAAAAACCGTGTTTGTACAAAGTGTGAACTTGTTCACAAGGTTAACATCGGTGCTGGTTAAAATTGTCAAGTTAACTAAACAGTCTTTCCAATTTTTTTCCTTTTTGAGCCGATTAAAAGTCGAAAATTTGTCGAACTTGTTTGCATAAATTTATATCCAAAATTCAATTTTGGTCGACCGTTGTACTCCAGCACACTTAAATAATCGTATTGTCACCCATAGTTCCATTTTTGACTATTTCAAGTCAAAAATTTCAAAAACGGCATTTATTTTGCAACACTGTTTTTGAAAATTGAAATGTCACAGTACTGCAAAATTCAATTTTTCATAAACATTTTTTCTGGAGAAAAAAGTGACGTATTTCAATTATAATTATTCAAACAATTAGATGAGAAGTTCTGACTTAACTGAACAGTTTTAATGATATGTAAATTTTGATGAGAGTTAATCGATTTTTTTGTTCATTTCTTCCCATTCTTCGTGCTGTTTGGTTTCTGTCGACGGCCAATTTATCCAACAGTATCAGGGCCAAAGTTCAGTATTCTTTAAAAGCCATTCACAGAAGGGTTACTCTGCGTAGTTTCATTCTGGTTCTAAAAACAAACCTTGAGTTTGTACAGTTTAGTTTTAAAAGTTCGCCTATAATCAATGGAGGAAGGGAGACGTGCCCTTTCTTTTTTCTCAAAAGTTTAAATTTCAGCTTCATTAGCATCCAATGGGCTCAAAAGTTTTTACGACATCAATTTTATGCATACCGATTTTAGAAAAAAAATCTGTTTTAAAAATCATCAGTGCCTCAGTGCCTGCCTGCAAAGCTGATGACGCATTGGTTTTTTACACAATCTAATTTGTTTCATTCTGAAGTGTTTTTTTTTCTGCGAAAAATAAAAATAGACCTTTGCATAATTGGGGTTACTTGAGTTCCTCGGCAAATTTTCTTCCATATTTGAGTATGATTGCTTGGACTTTTCTTCATTGTTCATTAAACTTTGACCATTAGCATCGTTGAATTTATAATGCGTGGAGCAAAGTTGAAGCAAGTATTTTCCTTTTTTGATCGAGTCTGTCGCAAACTCCAAAACAGGATAATCTACGCTGTAAGTTTCAATAAGTAAACTTGTTTTAGATAAAGATACGCTTTTAATATGGGACCACTCGACAGTGTATGCGAGCTCTCGGAACAATTCATCGTTGTCGTCAAGTCGCCAGCAATCAACGCCAACAGTCGAGATTCCCAAAACCACTTGGAAGATTTCCGATCCTTGTATCTCGACAACTTTGTGAAAATGTCGACCATAGTCTAGTATTCTACAGCATTGCATGATCATTCGGCCTTCGGCTTCGGTTTTGGTCAGACCCAAGTTGGCCTCGTGTAAGGTTATGAGAGCCGACTCGACTTTGTCCGACCCGAGGTAGGAGAGTACGCTCTGGGCCACGTAATTTTCAGGCTTGAAGTATCTGAAAAACTAGCATTCTTTTCAAAGGATTCTTGCAATCTACTGAAAAAGTATCACTCAAATCGTGATTTTTTTTTCATATGCGTGTCTTTCAACCAAAACAATTATTTCAAGAAACCATAAATATAAATGTAAGAAAACATAAATATGAAACACCTTTCGTCGTGATATCTGATTTTGCGTTCCGAAACATATATACAATCAAGTTTTTAGGGTTGGTTTGAGTCAGATCAACTAATCTCGTGCGAGGTTATGGTTTCAAGATCACACAGTCCGGAAGAAATTCTGGTATTTCCAGACTAGCGCAACCAAAATTGAGCAGCTTCAGACCGTAATTCCAGTGTTTTCAGACTTTGCACACCGAGGAACTGTAACAGCGACCTGCGCGACCGAAGGAACTTAACCGCAACCTGTCGAGCCATAGGAAAACTAACCGTGACCGACGCGACCGGCGTGTCCAAATGAACTTACAGCTTGACCAAGATTTGGGGTTTATGTATCGATCATCTCGACACAGGCTGAATAAGTTTTCTTTTCGGCTCAAGCCATCTATCTTTCGACTATAAATGTTTTATACTTCTTTCGACTATAAATGAGGTAAAATGTTTTGACTGAGGTCAACTGAGCAATTTTTCAACCATAAAACAATTAATACGAGGCCAACTTATGTATTTAATGAATTGCAAGCGGAGACCGTAACCGGTTGAAAAACTAATTGGCACGGAGTCCGAAAAACGTCTATTTCTAATTGATCTTATTGCTGTTTTGAATCCGGGAAATTCATAACCAAAACACTTATTGCTCCAAAATTAGTCACATTTGCGGAATCCAGAACAACTAGCTACACTCGCTCGTTGGGGAATTCGCGACACAAATAGTGTACCGACAATTTTTAGGTTTCACGGTATTTTTGTACAAAAATTTTGTGAGTGGAATCTACTTAAATTTAACATATTTAAAGACATGAGTTTCGGTAATTTACTGATACCAAACAGTCTGGTCTCAAAACAGTTCAGATGACTTGGAAACCCTAAATCCAAGTTCAATTCCCCCAAACTCTTAACGCGACTAATTTTTTTACCATGTTGCGATTAAGTTTTCGATCAAGTCATGACCTATTTTTCGACTCTGTCGTGACTAATTTTTTGACCCTGCAGCGACTGTTTTTTCGAATTGGCGCGAATAATTTTTCTATCAGTATTACAGTACTTCGGGACTTTGTCAGCAATTTAAAGCCCTTTCCAGGCTACGGATTTTTTTGTTGCTGAGGGAACATTGGCCAACTAAGTCGAAAAAAAAAGTCGCGGGCCACGACCCGGGCTATCCATTCAAAGTTCACTTTTGTTATTCTTCTTGAAAAATATGACAATTTATATTTCAATATTTGTGATAAATAAATTCTTCTTTTTACCTGCCACTTTCAGTCATGTTTTTGCCTGAGTGGTCTCCAAACTCTGCTTGGAGGGCGAGTGATGCGAGGATTAGAGAGAGTTCCTCGGAACAATCGTACTTATCCTCCAGAAGATCCCTTCTCAACTGCAGATAGAACAGATGTCTGGTTAAGGGGTCCAGAAGATTTCGAATGTCTGGAGCGTAAAATTTCACCTGGAAAAAGAAAGAGACATCTGGTGTAACGTTGCATGCATAAATCTAAAATTGTAGCCCAGCTCTGAGTTTTACACTAACAGGTAGGAATCTAAAGTTTTCTTGAGACAGCGATGGGTACTCAAAAACTTCAGAATAAGTTTATAAGACCTTTTTATTGCCAGAGCTCTTTGAAAATACTAAAGATTTCGAATGTCTGGAGCGTAAAATTTCACCTGGAAAAAGAAAGAGACATCTGGTGTAACGTTGCATGCATAAATCTAAAATTGTAGCCCAGCTCTGAGTTTTACACTAACAGGTAGGAATCTAAAGTTTTCTTGAGACAGCGATGGGTACTCAAAAACTTCAGAATAGGTTTATAAGACCTTTTTATTGCCAAAGCTCTTTGAAAATACTAAAAATACCCCAGTTTCCTATAAAAAATGCGTTCCCGGCAAATTTTTTTTTTAGAAAACGAGGCAAAATTTCAAAAATATTGGTCAATTTTGGTAAAAAGTTTTTGACCAGAAAATCATCGCGTTTTTTCGGCGCACTCTCCCCTTAAATATAATTTACATTGAGCTTCTTTAACTTTTTGGTATGGTTGAACTTCAAATTATTTTATCAATATTCATTACTATTGCTTGCAAAGAAATGCAGCTCAACTTCCGAAAATCAAATATAATAAACTTTAACTTTCCCGAAAAAATAATTGGAAAAATTGGGTTCGATAACAGTTAAAATTACAACAGGATCTAGTATTTTTTTGAGGAGGGAATATTGTCGATCTTCTAAAAGTTATAGCGCTATAGGCAACCTTTCTGGAAATAAAACACGCCAAAACCTGCCATGTATTTAGAATAAACTGATTAGATTCGTTTTGACAGTTTTGTTACTCACTTGCAAGTTTAAGCTAAATGTTGTTGTTATCCCTTGTCGCCACATATCCGGTGCCACCTCACTCAATTGTTCCGGGAACTCCAGGAAAAAGTACTCGCCCTGGCTAAAGTGTGTCAGTCCGAAAAACGCATGCTCCAATAGCTTCAGATGATCAACGACAGCGTCAAAAATATCCTGAACAGTGTTGTCTACATAATATATTATTCTGCATAATTTCTATACTTTTACATAACTTTTTTCTATTCGATTTTAAAGTTTTTGGCTCAAAAATCTATTCAGTGATAGATGCAGATTCATATTTTTGCGTTCAGAGAAATTGTTTTTCAAAAAATGACACTTTTTGAAATTTATAGGGAAATCATGATCATTCATGGCAAAATGGTTCACTTCAAAATTAAATCGGGCTGAATTATGTTTTTTGCAATCGGTCTGAGTCATTATTAATTCGAGGGGGAGGAGCGGTGATGCAGCAGCTTGGATTCGAAACCAGGCGATTTAAAATATAGGTTAATATCATGGATTTTTGGACCGTGATTTAAAAATACGATAAATTTAAATGTATAGGAACTTAAATAATAATATAAGAAGTCAAATATGACAACAGCATTCCTGTATCGATGATTTCAGAGTACAAGCCACGACCAATTGCCGACCATTGCTCAGTTCAATCACAACATTTCGCTTTGAACCAGCACCACTATCATTCTCAAGGTCAAAGAAGTCGCTTTCAAATGGAATGCTGATAGTTTCAGGTGTTTGTGAGCTCCAGTATACGAATTCGGGACCTTTCATGTGTGTAGTAGGCACGGAATCATCATTTGAAGATTTGCTATTAGAGCTTTCGACTTGTTTTTGATCAGCTTTTGGGAGAGGACTATTCGTTTGCGTGATGTGTTCTCCCGCCGCTTGGTGTAACAAAACTTCATTTCTTTCGGAAACATCGTCGAAGTCTTCGGTAGACGTATGTTTGTCATTGAAAGATGGCTCTATTTTTGGTGCAAAATTGTCATTTTTCAGAGAGTTGCCTGTATTTTTCTTTTGGTTTGCAACATTTTCACGGTCGCTCGGTGCTATAATCTGTCCAGCAAAGCTGTTATTTTTGTTCGTCAGGTCAAGTTTTGCATTATGGTTTTGGGCTGCGATATCTCTTGTCGGAAAGTTTTCCACTTCTGGAAAATTTCTAGCTGCTGTTAATTGTTTAGTTGGAAGTGAAGAGATGCCCAAATAAGGTAATTGTGATAGGTTTGCATCATGCACTTGTTTATCAGATGAATTAAGGTTAGTTGTTTTCTGGTGAACTTGACCTTGTTGGTAAATTGTGCGGAATGCTGATGGATGTTGGTTATCGCATTGGGTCGGGTTTTGTTTCAGTACTTCAGGAATATATTGTGATTTTTGTTGTTTAGGGTGATTTGTTGGATCTCCGAACACGTATTGAGCCAGTTTTCCAATCACCATTTCTGGAGAGGACCCTAAAAGGATTCTTTGAGTGAATTGATGAAAAAACTGATACTTTTAACACTGAGTATCTGAAATTCTTTAAAACAAGTTATGCATTTTGAATCATTTTAGTGGCAAAACTCAGTTTTTGAAACCGAAACTTGTTTTTGAATATTTCTCATAAACTTATCATACAATTCTCATAAATGAGAATTTTTTTTTCATACAATTTAATACAATTCCATACGTACAAAAAATTGTATGAAAACTCTATGATAAGCATAAATGGAAACTGTATGATAGGTATTTTCTCCATAAGCCAAAAAGTTATTTTTTGTTCGTAAATTTATTTTCTGACAAATTTATTTTCTGACAAATTACTCAAAGCACCAAAGTTTAGACGGTCTTGCATTTACAAAAACAATTCTAGTTGAGTTTCTCACCATTTAAAGCAACCTGGTCAACCGCAATGTCCAAAATGTCTTCAAAACTTGCTCGAACTACCGGGACATTTTGAATCATTTTAGCCAATAGATTCCTTAGCTTAGGCGTTAACTCTTTTTGATGTCTCATTTCTTGGAAAGTCAGAGCCCAAAAAACAACAGCTCCAAGCGAGAACACATGCGCGGCTTCTATGTGTTTAAGCATAGCCAGAGTTTGACCTTGTAACACTTCGGGCGCCAAAAAATGGGAAGCTGCGTAAGAAGATCTTTTAGAATAATCTGAAAACTCGATCGTGCCAGTAAGCTCAAAATTTAGGGTATCAGGCGTGATAATGAAGGAAAGTCGGTGGCCGTTAAGAGCTAATCCGTTTATAAGAATATCTCTAAGGGTTTTAACTCCTTGATAAAGAATAATCCAGGCTTCCGAATCAGAAATTGGGCTCAATCGAACATCGCAGATGTCTGAAATAGACGCGCGTAGATTTTTAGAACTTCTTTGCATAGTCACTTATTTATTTTTATTTTACTTGGAAGCTATATTTATTAATTATGACTATATCTGTATATAAAAGCTGATTCAAGAAACTTGAAAGCGTAGGAAAAATGAAACTAGTTGGAAAGTGGATTTTTTGCATAGAAAAAACGCTTTCAATATAAAAGTTTCAGTCAAACTAAATGGTATTAGCTGGAAATTAAATGTGTCGTTTTTTGCATAACATTTTTTTTATATAAAACTGTACATTGATTCTTTAAGGACTGCGACATGTTTTTTCTCTTTTTTTATCAACGGAGTTTCCGCTTTTAGAGCGAACGGAAAACTGTTTTTAGTCATCATTTTATTTCAAGCTATCTTTAATTTTTCCTTGAGCATTTTCTCAATTTAAACTTTATATTCACTTGCTTTGCCTCAACCGAATCTGTTTTACAGCAAAACTCCAACGCTAGCAAAACTAATCGTCGCAGCCCGGGTTGAGTTCATATTGAAAATTGGCGATTAAAAATGAACGAAAAAAAACAACGATGGACATTGGTGAGTTATCAATGCTCATTTCCCACCAGCAGATTTTAAATGAAATTTATTGCTAATTTGGCTAATTTTTAGCGATGAAAAAGCATTCATTACACAACCTATCAAAATGAGCAAAAAACAAGTACCTATCTGTTCTTGAACAGTCAACCATCTGCTCTGGAGATATATATGCTGCCTATGCGCCACGAAGCTTTGTTTTCTAACAAATTATACAGTTTATTAATAATTCACATTCTCATTTAATTTTCTTAAAATTTTATCTGATTTTCTTTGGAATCATTTACTCAAACAGCTTCAAATATCGCAGTTTTAGCTGTGTAAAAAAATTGATTTGTACATAAATCAGCGCAGGAAAAGAGCGATCACTGGGATACTTAAGAAAAACGCTAATTAACGGTGGGATTTCAACCAGGGAGAGCATATGTATTTTAAAGCAAACTGATTTGGTAAGGCACAGCGGGTGTAGGATTCAATTTGGAATTTTCCACTGAACTAAAAATTCTTGAATAAAATGTCTTTCGAGTTTTTTCTTCTACAATTGCGACCAACTGTCGCTTGCGACCAATTTTCGCCTTGGACCCATTGTCGCTTGCGTTGAATTATCTCCATTCCATTTGAACACACGGTACCAAAATTTTATTCCTATTTAGAAAAGAAATCTCAAAAAAATTGTGGTATAACTGGACTTGAGTCCGACTTTCATTTGTAGAAGCCTGATTGTGCTTGAAGAAAAAAACACGAAATCTCTTCTTCAAAAGAGTTTTCAACAACGCGATTGAAACACTCGGTTGCCAATCAGGTTTAAATCAAGAAAAAACAGAGCAAAACAACGTAAATGAAGGCTTTTTCAGATCAGGCTTAGCTAAAGTACAAACACGGTGTGGCAGGTTGCGTGGTTTTCAGATTATTAGAGATTTTCGGAAAAATTGTAATCAATTATAATTATTAAATTATCAAAAAAAAATTATCATTATAATGGATTATAAATCGTTTAAACATCTTAAATTGGCGCTTATAATTAATTATAATTTTGCTAAAAGTACGATTATAATTATAATATAATCGATTATTTTCTCTTTTTACCGAGTGCGGGTCCGACCATTTGAAAAATGGGGAGGGAGGAACTTTGAATTCGGGTGTGTTTCAGGTTCTTTTCTTTTGTTTTTGTTTTTCTCGCAAAACTATGTACCGCAAATTATCATTGGAATGGGTCAAGTGACACATCATATTAAAGTCCTGTCAATCAGGGGCGGATCTGGGGTTTTCTCGAGGGGGATTTTTGAGTTATGTATCAACCAAATTGAGTTTTCAAGCTGTTTTTGGGCAGTTTTTGGGAAATTTTAACTTAGAAAAAACGCTGTTTTTGGCGCACGCTCCCTCTCGAAATTAGTGTATATTGGTGCCGAGGCGCCCTAAGAAAATTTTCAGGGTCGGTCAGCCAAAAATAGATTTCTTAAAAAGTACTAAAAGGTGACCCTTTGGGTCGGCAGGGGTCGAATCCCTGAAAATTGAGAAAGTCGAAAGAGAGGATAAGCCATGAAACTTTAGTAATAATGTTTTTTGAATTTTTAAGGCTTTTTTGGAATAAAAAAAACTTCAAAAACCATTATTGCAAAAAGAAATGAGAAATATTTTTAATTTTTTTCGAATTCATTTTTGACGAAAAACCGTTTTCCGAATTGCTTATTTTAGATTGACTGACAAAATACCTAACTTTCATGTTTTTTTTAGATCCTTTCATCACACCACGCGAAAAAAAAACAACACTAATTTGAAAAAAAAAATATGAAAAAAAAATTTCATGTATTTTCATTAGAATATGGTTAGAACAATTTGTACTATTTGCACAGAATTTGGCTATCCTTGTTGCAGTTTGAAACCTTTCAGTGACTAAAATCAGTTTTTAAAACGCGAACTTGACCTTGATTTTTTATGAATGTACATTCTTTGTATGCAAACGCTTTTTTATCAAAAGAAAACTCATTGAAAAGCTTTGCAAAATCATTTAGAATTGAGCTTCTTAGCATTTAAAGCATTTTCGTCAACCGCAATGCCCAAAATATCTTCAAAAATTGCTCAAACTACCGGGACATTTTGAATCATTTTGGCCAATAAATTCCTTAGCTTAGTTGATAGTTCTTTTTGGTGTCTCTTTTCTTGGAAAATCAGAGCCCAAAAATCTACAACTTCACGCGAGAACAGATGCATGGCTTCTATGTGTTAAAGTATAGCCGGATTTTGACTTTGTAACACACTTCGGGCGCCAAAAAAAACGAAGCTGCGTAAGAAGATCCTCTAGATTAATCTGAAAACTCGATCGTGCCAGTAAGCTCAAAATTAAGGGTATCAGGCGTAATTATGAAGGAAGGTCGGTGGCCGTTACGAGCTAATCCGTTTGTAAGAATATCTCTAAGGATTTTAACTCCTTAGTAAAGAGTAATTGAGGCTTCCGAATCAGAAATTGGGCTCAATCGAACATCGCAGATGTCAGAAATAGACGCGCGTACATTTTTAGAAAATCTTTGCATAACCGCATGTATTTATTTTAAAATCATTTTCAAACTATATTAATATAATATGTCTACATCAATATTAAAAAATCTCATCAAGGAAGTTTGAAGGTATTTTGGAAAGTATTTTTTTTTTGCAAAGAAAAAGTGTTTTTAATATAAGAGCTTGAGGCAAACAATACGGTTTAAACTGGAAACTAAACGTGTAATTTTCTGCATTTTTTTAAACTTTTTATAAATTATACGAATTGATACTTTGAGGACTGTGACATGTTTTTTTTCTTTTCTTTTACAATGGATTTTGAAAAGAACAGAAAACTGTTTCAGCCATATCATTTTGTTTCACTTCAGCTTAAATTTTTTATTGAGCATTTTTTCAATGTAAAATTGATATACAATTGCTTTGCCTGTTGAATCTGTTTGAAAGCAAAATTACTAAACTTTTTTACTCCGATCACTCTCCCGAATTAATGAAAAAGAACACTGACTCAGATACGTTTTCTTCACCAAAATACGGTACTTCAATGTACACTTATAATAATATAATAATATATTGTTTTCGAACCAATGATTTGGCATCAGATAAAACAGTAACATAAGAGTAACAAAACTAGTCTGTCTAGCGATGCCTCGAAAAGCAGATCAGTTGTTTTCATTTTCAGCACATTTTTTCGGTTTTTTTTTTAAATGAAGCGCGGCATGGTGATAAAACTTCATCAGCACCAATAGAATTTTCTAAATGTAATCAAAATTTTTCTATCAATCTTTCTATCAGTTTTTTTGGTACTTTTTTTACTTTGGTTGAGCCATTTTTTGTTTGTTTGAATCTTCACGCGACAATTGGTTGCAGGTGATAATTGGGAGCAATTCACAGATCAACTAAATGTCACAGAGCAATAATATATAATTCAAAACAAAATTATTTAGCAATCAAACGGCAGTGCCTTAGCGGGTGTGGGATTTAACATGGCACAAAACAAAATGTCATGAGAGTTTTTGCTTTTACAATTGCGACAAATTCTCGCTTCCGACCAATTGTCGCTTTCAACAAATTATCGCCATACCGTTGAACGCATGGTATCAAAGTGTTTTTTTTTAAAGAAAACGGCAAAAATCACAAAAAAAAATTGTTATTTGACTGGGGTCAAGTCCGGGTTTCTTTTTATGAAACCTGAGAGAAAAAGTTCAAAGTTCTCCTCCTTGGTAGTACTTTTAACAAAAGGATTGATTCACTCGATTGCCTTTTAAGTTCGAATCATGAAAAAAGAAAGAAAAACAACGTAGATGAAGACTTTTTTTCTGATCATTTTCAGATAGGTATAAAACACGGCGTGCCAGGTTGATTGATTTTTATGTTTAAGCTGATCATCCCAGATTCGCAGTAAAACAGCAAAATGAAAAAATAAGAATGTTCCTACAAGTTTGTAGAAAAGGCACAACTTTTTGCTCTTTAAACTAATCTAGAGCAAGGGCGGATAAAGTTGAGCTCCCGTACCTTGTAAATGTTCTAATTCAGATCTGAAATAATCTTTTTAGATCTAAATTTCAGATCTGAAAAAAGTTTTGAAATGTTAAGATAATGCTTGGATACTTCAGGAATGGGTTATTTCAGATCTAATTTCAGATCTGATATTTAGTTTTTCTTGATTATTTCAGATCTGAAAAACCAATGATTTTGAAACAATTTTTGCTAATTTTGATACTTTTGTTTTTGATAGCTTCTGCTAGCTACTAACAGGTACTCAGAAAAGTCTCCAATTGGAAACTGCCAATTATGTTTCCCAAGCATGAGATAAACATAAGTAGCATAACATTTGAAACGCATAAGTAGCGCAAGAAAGTCAAAAAATTTATAGGTCTTCTAATTTTTTCTCACAATTGAACAAGAAATTTAGTTTTAAAAAAATTTGTGAAATTATTCGGAACTTTTTTTTACCGCTAATTCACTTAAACAAAATTGTGTATTGCAGAAACATCACAAACTAAAAACTCAATTGTTTTGACAACGGGTTTCTCAGATCTAATTTCAGATCTGAAAATTTATTTTTCAAAGCTATTTCAGATCTAAAATTTTCTACTTGAGATCCATTTTTCAAATCTGAAAATTTCAATTTCTTATCCAGATT